CCACCCCTTCCTCTCATAATACCAAACTGTATGCTTAATGCACTCTTTCCTCCGCACCCCGAAAGCCAGGTTTGCATTATTTTGTTCGAAAAAGGGAACGTGGAGCGGGGGGGCTGATGATTGACAGCAGGAACACGTTTAGAAGTTCGGCGAAAAAAGGGCCCCCAAGTAAAGACGCATACCTTCTTCTCTTTGATTACGGCGAAGGTGGCGTTTTCGATTTTATCTGCGTACTCATTCAGTCCCATGTAACGCAGCATCATGATGGAGGAGAACAGAAGGGCAGTGGGATTGGCCTTGTCCTCACCAGCGATGTCCGGCGCCGTACCGTGTACCTACAAAGTAAAGTCAGCATGTGTGCGGTAAGGAACGATTATGTAGCCCCACTGGGTTTAATCTGCATACCAGGCTACCGTAGTTGTTTTAGTAGGCATTGCACTTTTATTATTTTATAGCTGCTGGTGACAATTCTTTACGCATTTGAGGTTCCATAGGATCGCAAACGGGTTCTGTTGTCGAACGCATACGCTGTGGCTTAAATACTTCTTCAAAAAGGTTAGCTAAACCTTCTTGTGTCTTGTCGGTACTCACGATACAAAGCGTGCTGTAAGGAGCATCGACTGTGTGATATTACAGCAGTGCATTTTTGAGTAGGTGGAGGAGCGTTCTAACCTGCACTAGGTATTTTCACCCGAGCCAACTTTAACGTAAACAGTCTACTGAAAGCAGGAAAGTAGTATGTAGTGATCTCTGACAGCTGCCAGATAAGGTGATTATCCAGGCTTCTCTAGAACACGCTCGCACTGAGGGAATGCAGAACACATCTTGGCAAAGAGTTCCACTGTCGATGGATGGCACAGTTCCTTTTTCAGCTGGCAATCATGCCCTCTGAGATTCCTTTTTGGTACCAGTCTAAAAATATCTTTCCATAGGACATCTAGACCAGTGCTCCTTAAGAAGTAAAACACAGCTTTAAGGTCACCTCTGTCTTTGATTCGTTTTTGAGGAGAGATTAAGGTATTTATGGACTAGGCGCTATTGTCCCGCCGAACGCCTCGAA